ATAAAAGAATTCTCAAGCGTAAAGTGCTCTCAGTAAGGATGAGGTTCTGTGGGACAGTGGAAAGGAAATGAGTTCACGAAAGACAAGATGAGCTCTCAAACTCGCCTGCAAAAGGAGCACTTGCTCACTCTTTTTTACATGGAGGGTTCTGGGCATCCAAATACCATCATATTCAGATTCCTTTGGTTACAATTTTAAAATGATGAAACAGGTTTATTTTTTAAATGTTAATATTTACAACGCAGTAGAAATTACATCTGGTACAACTAATTGAAAATCTCCGGTTGTCAATTAAAAATGTAAGGGGATACATGGTTGTCCAAAATTCTCTGGGGGTGTATATGAAAAGTTATTGACACACATGTCAGTTTGCAGCACCAGTTCAGGAGCACTTTCCCAGTAGCTCCTTATTTTCCCCCTTTTTCCCAGTGCCTGGAACATAGGGAATTAAATCAAGGTGGATTGAGATAAGGACACGCATTGCTTGTCGGCTGGGAATGGCGTGTGGAACCCATAGGCATCAATGTGGGATGAGGGAGTATTTTGTCTTTCTTTGAGACATTTTCTTTGGGCTATATAAATGTGGTGAAAGTGACTCTTGAGAAATCTCCTTTCATCATGACCAGCAAATAAGCAATATCATAGGATACAAGATCTTTCATTTGTATTTAATAAAGTAACAAAAAAAATGAATCCATTACAAGAGTACTTGGAAGATTTATATTTAGTATTTGAAATTTTGGGGAGGTGAGGGGACTTTGTAAAAGAAAAACTCAATGGAACTAGTACGGAACTGAAAATGATTGTGTTCAACTTGAGGAATTAGAAGCCTTAAGTTAGCATTTTCTTCTTTACACTTGAGCTAGAAATTTTCCAAAGCTGTTATTTAGGTATAAAGACATTTGAACCATGGGATTATAGAATTTAAGTGGAGGACAAGGGAAGGGTTAGTATTCCTCACTTAGGTTCTGTGACTACATTCATTTGGAAGAGAATTTAATCATGAATTTATAGTTGTCTTCTGCTAAAGACAAATTCAGTGTTTTTTTTTCACATTTGCAAAAATCCTACAATAACTTTTTAGTTCAAAAAGGTTGTTCACGCCTTAAGAGAAGAGCAAATTGCCAGCGCATTAATTAATTCAAAAATAATGACTCACACTTTTAGGGCCTACAGAAAATAGCAGAAAAGATAGTCAGTGCCGTATTCCTTTTAAGATTCCTAATTAGTCACCAGGCAATTGTCAAAAGAATGTTTACATCCTACATTTTGACTTAGAATTTCAAAGAATGAAAGAATTCTAGATTTAGAAGGGATTTTAGAGCTTATCAGACCAACTTATTTTACAGAAAGGGGAAACAATTGTTCGAAGTTCAGAGCAGAACTGGGACCCGATTGTGGGATTCACCTCTTCCTTCAGTCCTTCTCCTGCTTCCCCTGGACTTTGGGCTGGCGTCCCTGGACCGCCGGCTTCGTGGAAACCTTCAGGGGCTATAGTGAGGATGGGAAGCACAGAAGGATCCAGCAGACGGGACCTGGGCCCCCAATCTCATAACAGCTAAAGCAGCTCCAAGTTTTCCTTTTATGTTTTGGTCTTCTGTTTACAATTGATAAAGAAAAAAAAAGAGTTTCCTGCACCATTATCTCATTCAGAAATTGTCAAAACATATTATAGCTCATGGGGTTATAATAGGAACTGACCCAAAGGAGACAAGATTATAACTGGGGGTGGAGGCAGGGTGAGTGAGATGGGAAGGTGTGATTCCAGGCAAAGGATTCTCAGACTGACAGAGCCCACTGCAGGAAGAAATGAAAGCTAACACCGACCAGGTTGGGAGCCTCGCGGGAACATTCATTCCTATCTCCTTTGATACCTCCCCTAGAAGAGTTTCCAGAGATTGTGCACACAAGTCTTGAGTCCCTGCACATGCTGCTCTCTCTTGTTGGCTTGCAGCACCCCCTCCCCCCCCGATGTATTCTGAGCTCGGTGCAGGCATCCATCCCTCCATCCTTCCTTCCTTCCTTCCTCCTGTGCTCTGAGGTGCCTACCCACCGCCTGCTGCAGATGACGTTGCACTCATGTTCCTTCTCCCTCGGGCGATGGTGCAGTTGTCCTGTCCCTTCCTGTGTGACTGCCCTCACTGCACTCAGGTGAGCTCCCTGAGAGCAGAGCCTCCCCTACCTGCTCCTGCCCAGCACCAGCTCCCCGGCCCTGGTGCCAGTGCTTGGTGAGCCCTCACCGAACACTTGTCAGATGGGCTCAAGGACAGTGTAACCTGGGCCTTAGGGAAGGTTATCCATGAGAAATGGAGGACTTGCCTGGACAAGAGGGGAGCTCTGTGATAGCATTCTTCATTGTACATTTTCAAAGTGGTTTAACACGTACACACGAATATAGACTTCTCACATCTTGTTGACTTTGGGTTTGCAGTTGGCTTAATTTAGAGCCATGGCTCTCAACTTTCTTTCTTTTTTTTTTTTTTTTGTTCTCAAAATATCTGAGGGATATAAAGCAAGCCCAGACATGCATTCTTGATCTTAAACCTGGATAGAAACGGGGTGGGGGCTTGGAGTCCCCCCTCCACCATGGATGCATTCTGAGTTCCCAGGGCATGTGTGAGCCAGGAAAACCTCCTTGCCTCAGGTGGTCCTCCTGTCTCCACTTGGGGCCAGGTGAGAGTTCTACTTTGGGAAGCAGACCTCTATAGCTTACTTCACACTTTTTAGTACCTGCTGGAGTGGTAAGACGGGGAGCAGGGCTGGACTGAGCACTTATTTAGTACCTACTGTGTCCTGACACCTTCCTCTGACCAGCCAGCCCCACTCTACCTGTGCAAACACACCTGGAGTTGGCATTACATATGGCATCGTTGGACCTTGTGTACGTGTCTGTCCCCTCATGACCTGTGAGTCACCAGAGAGCTGAGACTCTTAGACTAGAAATCTGTGCCCCAGGTCTAGTCACGGGGCCCTTCCATCCTGGCGCCCACCCAGCAGTGGAGGCATGCCAGGGGCATTGCACTGTGGCCTGGCATCACATTCAGTCCTCACTGCAGTCCTGCCGGTGGTGTGTCACCCCATCTCCCAGGTGAAACTGAGATAGAGGGCTCCAGACACCTGCCCTGGGCAGTCAACCAACTGCTCCACTAGAATTTGAACCCAGGTCTCTGAGACTGAAACCTGCATGCTTTTTGTCTGTGTCCTGCTGTTTATGTACCACATAGGCAGAAGGAAAAGTGTTAGTTTGATTGACCTACTTGTTCAGTGACAGTGACAAAAGGGAAGGCAGGACATAGGGGTCTAGCACAGCTGTCTGGGCTGCTGTTGACGGCTGTGCAGTGGAGCAGCTCTGAGTGGAGTCGGCAGTCGGGTCTGGTCCCTGGACCAACATCTGAGGGCTGTCGCTCAGGCTCCGTGGACAGAGCGGCCGGCAGCCATCCATGGTGTGACAGCTTACCAGCAAACCGTTAGCAGAAAAGGTCTTGGTTGTGTTAATCCGTAGGCACTGTTTCTTCCCCATATTTGCTCTCTAATTAAGAGTCTTGCAACAAAAGCCAGGAAGAAAGCTAGAAGAAAGCAGTCATTGTTATAAGCATTCACTGCATTCAGATATATTGCCTTGTGCATTTGCACTTCTCAAAACAATTTCTCCTTTGTGTTCTGTTCTTTGCTCGGGAACTCTTGTGAAATGTCTATTTTTTTACATTTTTGGTTATTTTGTTGATTTTATTGCTTGGGAACTCAAATAAACCAACACCTGAGGGACTTTTCTCCTTAGTGCTCCTTTGGTTTTGTTAATTCTACGTTGCTAGTCTGCTGTCCCATTAAAATGACAGTGATGTTGAGTGCAATAGTGCTGTCACTGGCCTCTCAGTGCAAGATCATGTGGAGAGCGCACTCAGCTTGTCTCTGGCCTTCATTCATTTAATGCATTTATTCATTTATTGAAGGAATGATTTTAACACAAAGTGCACTGAAACTGCAACACAACACAGACCTTAGCTGCTGGACTACCATGAACAGTGCTGAGATCATATGTCCTGAGGTGTCTTGAAGTTGAAAGTCTATTTCTCCGTTAAACTGAAAATAAAACTCTGATATAAAGCTGGTTCAGAGTTGTGAACTCCTGTCCTTCCAACTCCAGAATAGTAAGAGGTTTGTCTCCCTGCACAAGGCTTTCAGTGATCTTAGAAAAGCCAGAAGTTTGGTAAGAGAAAAATAATAACCTCACTTAGACGTAATGTATCTCCGAAGAGCTTGATAGCAGTGCCAGCTGGCTGCCGCATCCCCACGGTGGACAGGAAGTTCGATGGAACTCAGGCTGTGACAGCGAGCTGCGACTCTGTGCGTCTCTCCTGCTGCACTTAGTGCTCAGGGGCCGGGTCACCTCAACCAACGGCACTTTTGTTGTGATTCTTCTTGATTTTTCTTGAACATTCTCTCCCAAGATCATCTCTTATTTAAACCAAGATATACTGTCTCACATATAAAAATGAAGGGAGAGCTGAATGCTGAGGAAAAGTGTCATTAATATTTTAGGCCAAATTTCAAATGTTCCTATGGAATATTTGTCAGAAGTTCCCAAACAGTATTATTTATTTCTAAGTTTGCTTGTATTTTTAAAACCCCTATTTTTTAAAGGAACTCATTTAGAAACCTCTTCAATTAAACCAAAGATCAGACTAGAAACAACTGCATTCACCATGTGGTTAGTCTGAATTTTTAAAGGTGTTTGCCCAATGGCACATACAGGATAAAAATTCTAAGGCTGATTCATAATATGCTGATTTTTGAGGGAAAATTTGGCTCTCAATCACACATATGCATCAGCTCCCTCCAAGTTACAGTGTTTCTGGTGGAAGCTGTAGTGTTTGGGTCCTCCTTTGCTCCTACACTCTGAATTCCACGTTTCAGAGGAGTCAGGCAGATTAGTTTTGTTCTTGTATGGCAGTGTAGAAACTGAAGCGTTGGTTGACCTGTCCTTGCCATGTTTTGTCCAGTGAGCCTGCCCCTGGGGCCTGACAGCCCCTGTGACACAGACGGGGTCCCGCCGGTGCTGTCAGAGGCCGAGGAGACGGTTTCTGTCAGCAGCTGTTTTGCGTCAGAGGACACAACTGAGGACTCAGGAGTGATGAGCTCCCCTTCAGACATCATCTCTCTGGATTCCCAACATGACAGCACAAAGTTCAAAGATAAGTGGACCATAGACCAGGAAGACTGCAGTGACCAGGACCTAGCTGGAACCCCAGAACTGGGTCCCCAAAAGAACCCCTCGTGGGAGAGGAACGTCTCTGGGAACTGGCAGCCAAGGTGAGTCATGGGACAGCTGAGAAGGGACATCCTATCCTAGTCTTGATGGAGGGAAGTCTTTTGTCATGGTGACCCAACAAATATTCATGAAGAGTCTACCATGTGCAAGGTGCCCTCCACTGAACTCTCCAGGCCCCGATGTGGTGGTTTGTTATCCACAATCACATCTTCATGCTCTTTCTAGATGTGCAGGTATTTATAAATAATACATAATATTGTCTTGTTTTTACCCTTTATATAGATGGTACCATGCTCTTAATATACATTTTCACTCAACATCATGTTTTTAAGATTTATCCGTGATAATACATGTGTCGTTCGTTTGTTTATTTATGCATTTCTTTAATTAATAGACACTTAGGTTGTTCTGGCTTTTCACCACTGGAAACAATGAGCAAGTTATACAGATGTCTCTATCTACACATAGAGTTTTCTAGAAGAGAAATTATCAGACCTTCAGAAAAACTCATCCACAACTTTATGGAATACTGACAAATTGCTCTCCAAGATGATTGTCTGATATAACGCCCCCCGGTGGTCTGTGACAGCCTGTCAGCCACGTCTGTACCAGTCTCTGGGATTAGTAGACTTCTTAAATTTTGCTCTTCCTATAGGTGTCAAACAGCATTTCCTGTGCCTTTAATTAATAATTCTCTCATCAGAGGATGAGCATCTTGTCATATGTGTATTAACAATTTGATTTTCCTCTTCTACAAATTGCCTTTTCATAGACTTTGTCCTTTTAAAAAAAATTGGGATATTACTTCTAAAAAAAATTATTAATTTCTCCTTGGTCAGTTATTGGTACATGGAGAGTAAGTCTGTGGCTTGAATTTAACTCTGCTTTCTTTTGTTGTATATAAATGGCTTTTTAATCTTAATATTGTTGAATTTATCCTTTCTCTTCCAAATGTATATGATCTCTGTATATTTAAGAGACCCTTCCTATACCCTATGAGACTCAAGATTATCTGAATTTCTTGTAAAAGTTTAGTGTTATCTTCTCTCATTTGGGCTTCTTGTCTACCTGGGGTTTATTTTCAAGTGTGGTGTGAAGAAGGAATCTGTTTTTTCCTGCTGACTCCTAGTTCCACTGTGCTCCTCCATTAGGGCTCCATATATACACTGGTCTGTTTCCACTCTCTTTCCAATAGTGCTGGTCATTTCTCCATCTCTGTACCAGCACCACACTGTCATAATTCCTTTCTTCATTCTTATATAGAAAGGCAGTTTAGTTTTCTGGAGCCCATCAATTTTTTTCACTTTTTAGATAATTTTAAGCACCATCACACAATGCGTGACATTAATAGAAATAGAAACATTAATAGGAATAAAGTAGAATAATAAAAAAGTAATTCATAAGTCAATCACCAAAATGAATGAATTCTTTTGTTTTTCACTTTGTGTCCTAACTTTGTCCATATGAACACACAAATCTGATTTATGTAATTGTAGTGTCAATAGTATTTTTATTTTGATTTGTTTTTACCTAATAGTTTATCACAAGCATTTCCCCGTGTTATTATATACTCTAATAATTTTGAAGTGTAGCTCATCAATCTTAAGGACAATTCCAAGGCCAAGTTCAAATTTCATTAAACAGGAAATTAGAAAGTGGCAATTGGTCCATTCCTCCTCCACCCCATGCAAGATGCATTTAGCTGAGCTTGGCCTGTGCTGTTTGCATCTATGAGAGCAGAGAAAAATTATGGCATTTCTATCCTAGTCTACTTAACATAAAGAAAAATAGCTTTCTACAGTAATCTCCAGGTGTGTTCTGTTAGTTTGTGTGTGGATCATGCGCACAGAGCACTACAGCTGAAACTAATCAGACATGTTAACGCTGTGTGCCCAGGAAGGCTGCTCTAAGAGTCCTAGTTTGCTTTGCTGGTGTTGGCCCCTAATGTAAAATCTTGCTGATTTCTATCCAAACCTGAGAGGTCATGTTGTCTGTGGCCTCAGCCAGGGTAATCATGGAGTCTTCAGAACCTGATGTTTTATCCAAACAGGGAGCAGGGCATGTTTCTCTTCCCTCATCCCTGAGGGCCCCCTAAATCTGAGGCATAGCGTGGTGGGGAGGGGGCAACCTGGCAGGCTCACAGTGGGATCCTACCACTGCTCACGAGTTGCTTGACTTTCAAGAGTCTACCTGACTTAGCCCAGCCTTGTATTCCACTTGTGCATGCACAGATAATCCCACCTACCTGTCAGAGGTGTGGTGAGCCTCTGAATGCCCAGTGTGCGTGGCGCAGTCTGTATTGCATACCTGCGAAGTGGGATCCATTGTCAAAAGTACTACTGTTAGTTTAGGAAAGGGAGCACCATGAATTTTCACAGCAGGCCACCTGCCTTCTCTGGGCTTTGGTCAGCTCGGGGCAGTCAACTGCGGATGAAGGAGCTCAGCAGCCTTCTGTGCTCATCCATTATTTGCCCCAGATTTGGGATCAACTCTCCGCCTGTGATTTTTCATGGAATGAACATAGGTTGTTTTTTTTTTACGGGAGTTATCCCTACTGACAAATTAGACATCCTCAGAGACTGCAGCATGACACATCACATATTTATGTCCAAATGCATGGTTTTCAATACAGTTCATGATTACTTATGACCAGTGTCTAGTATAAAGCTGGAGTTGCAAACTCAGAGGCCATGAAAGTGGTAGAAAGCACAAATTTTCTCTAAAGTGCAGCTCCACTCCTTCCTTCCAACTGTTGCCCTGAGGGATTACAGACCAGTGTGGCCACTTTTTGAAGTGAAGCCAGAAATCTAGACTTTTATGTGAGGTCTTCCAAATTTTAAACGTTGGCAACCAATTCAAACATTCAGGGCCAAACTAAACACATCTGCATGCCGGGTGTGGCCTGCTTCCAGATGTGTGCTCTACTGAGGATTGAAGGCGCCTGGCCTTCCCTCTGCTTGCTGAGTTTCCAACTTTGGAATATCGTTGCAGTTACTCACATATTTCCTGTGATTTATCTCTTGACAAACATCTCTTCACAAATAAATTTGGGAAGTCATTATATCCTCCTCTTAGTGAAATATTAAAGTTACAAATTCTATAGCAAAGAAACCTGTTTAAATTTTCCCCTCTGTACTGCCTCTTAATGTCCTTTAGAATCATGTTCCATTGAACACTATTTAGGAAATGCTGTTCAATGTCCTCACCCTTCCACATTGTCACACTTAAAGCATCCACAAGTATACACCTCAGTTGCACAGATATAGAAAGACTATTCCTCTCTTTATGAATACAGTGCCTTCCAGTGATGTGCTCTCTGGTCCTGTCCATGGCATAAGGCATTGACAGCCTGGACAGGAAAAAGGCAGTGAAGGCCAGAGGGGACAGGATGGGGTTGGGCCAGATTGCAGGGTCTGACTAGTTCTGGGCCAGAGATCAAGTCTGTAAAACTTGGGCGAGCCACATGCAGTAGGCCAATTTCAAGTGTCCAGACTGGCCAGTGGTCAAGTTCAGTGATGAGAACCTGGGCTGGGGTTGGCAGCCCGGAATCAAGCTGACAGAACTGTGTGAGAGCAGAACCACCACTGTTCACAGAGATGTGTCCTTGACCTCGGCCACCTGCACAGATGACTTCTATCTTCTCTGCCTTGTATGATTCTGACACCTAGTTTCTGCAGCTAATCCTAAGGGACCATTTGTATTCTCAGAAAGGGTGTTCTTCCTGTGTGGCAAAGGGTGATGATCCAGGGCCCAGCTGTGACAGTGAGACCACTCCACCTTCTGAATGCCAGGCCTTAGAGGCTTGGGCAAAGCAGAAGCTACCCGTTGCCATGACTGGCAAGGCTGGGTCTCCAGGTGGGGAGTGTATTCTGATAGGTTGTAAAGCCGTCTCCGATAGTCTCAGACACCCTCAGCTTGCAGACTTTCCACTGTGGGACCAGTCTCCCCTAAAAGAAGGAGTGTTCATGGTTTTCAACTTTGTGCCAGAGTACCCTGTCCTATTGCCACTCCTGTGTTACTCAGGTATTCACTGAGCATTGTTGGGAACAGTGTCAGACCCTTCGTGACCTGAGAAGACCCAAGTTTGTAAGGTCTACCAAGTTAAGTTCTAGTTTGCTTGGGTGTTTCTCCTTCTCTGCACCCTGCAGATAGATAGCAAAGTCGTTTAGACTTCTTTGGCTAGGATTGCCTGGGGTCCCACTTTGACAAATTGGAGGCAAGTACTGTTTCCTCCAGAGTTCTTGTCACCTGTCCAAGGAGAGCTGGGCAGGTTGGCCTCAACTGAAAGCATCCTTCTTAAACTATTCAGTCTAGTGGCCAAGTTCATGGCTTCTGTTCCAGGCAGTTGATTTAGAGGTTCCGCTCCGTGCTGCTGCAGCTCCTGCCTCATCAATGGCAGCATTGGCTGGGCTCCAGCCAAGCCTCTGGGAGCCAAGATTTTTGAATTGAAGAGTCTCAAGCATAAATACCAGTCTTCTAAAAAGAGCAAGTGTGAATGCTTGATGATAATTGGAATGTGTTTTGTGTGCTGTGATCTTAAAATGATATCTTTTCCATCAAGTCATTTGATTGGATTCAATGTTAATTTCTCATTGCAAAATAAGTCCATGCTCTCAACTCAAACTTGCCCCCGTGAGTGGGACGTCAAATTCCCAGAGTCTTCCTCTAGACTTAGTGCAGCCAGTGAATAAGCTCCTTAAGGAAGAATTCAGCCCAAAAGCACACCAACAACAGAAAAGCGCATGTAGTGATTGCCCCCTCATCGTGGGGACACCTAGGAGTGACCTCATACACAACTATGCCCTGGGAGGGAGGTTTGTCACTCATAACTACATTTGCTTAAAGATCTCTTCTCACACACATCTTTCCTTTGTATATGGCCCAGGCCATCATTCCTGACACTTAAAGAACAACTTGCTGTGAAGAGTAAAAAGTTCGTGGTCAGACTGCCTGCGGTCATATCTGCCCATTGCTGGTGACTATGTGCCCTTGGGCCAGTGACTTGACCCCTCTCTTCAATTATCTTGTCAGTACAATCAAG